CCCAAAACACCCCTAAAACCCTAACCCCTAAAAAACCCCTGACCCCCAAAAAACCCTTAAAAGCTCAACTCGTCGGAACACCGGCATGCATTCTAAGGCTGGGATGCCTTTTTCGGCAGGGATGCGTTTTTCGGCATAACACCTGCAAACAAGGGAGCGGAGTCATCGATGAGGACAACACGGGGTTTATTTCAGGAACAGGCAGGACAGGAAGGGAAGCACGACAACGAACAATACAACATCAATGACCAATCTGGGCATACTGACTTAGACGCGGACTAAATACGCAAGACAGACTGAACTGAACAAGCAACAGGTGATCACAATCAGGAATTAACACGAGGCAATGAGGGGGGCGTGGCACACACAAGGATCGTACGAGCCGGACGTGACAAGTTCCTATTTACATTTATATTTTTATGTTTAAGATTTTTAGTATTAATACACTCTGCTAGGCCGATGGTAAGTCAATGCAACGTAATTTCGTTCTGATGTGCACTAACCAGTATGTTCTGAATGACAATAAAAGTAGCTATTCTATTCTTCTAGTCCTATATGCATGAACTGTTGTGTGAAATGCTCTTATGCTTTTGAGACTGTTAAGCATGTTTCTTGAAGTATGCCAAAGCAATCAAGAAAATCTGCAATGTACAGAAACAAATATTAGCATCCTTGAAAGTAACACCTTCACCTTTAATGAAAGACATTTTTGAGAACTGTATTACAACGGCAATAAAACAAAAAAACTATGAATATCATAGATTTTGCACCACACTTAGCCACATATAAATGTGTGAAAAGCTATTATTTTGATTGTGAGTACAGCTCGAAGGGATAATATTTTATGATGAGTTTTGTGAAAGTGACTTCAGTATTGCAGAATGTACCTTAGCAACTGAAAAAACTGTAATATACAGGTACAGTTACAATATACAGACTCATTGCTGGGAAGGACTATCTTCACTGAAGTAGGAGGGGCAATTCACCATCTGTGTGTTCTCCAGTCTGGTGTCTAGGTTCACACACACACACACACACACACACATACTCACATATCCATCTAAATGGGGACTCTCCATTCATTTCTATGGGAAAAACCCTAATCCCAATCACGACACCCTTAACCCCTACCCAGCCCTAACCTTAACTATAAGTAACCAAACAAAATACAAGACTTTTCGACATTTTTACTGTTTTGATTTCATGCACAGATTTTTATAATATTGAGGTCATCCATATAGGAACCTGAAAAATGTCTCAGAAAGTATAGAAGTCTCAGGTTTTACCACACTTTGGGAACATTTTTGGTCCCCAAATGTGATCTATGCAAATACACGCACACATATAGAGATTAGGTATCTGTGTCTTTGTGGGGACTCTCCATTCACTTCTATGGGCATAACCCTAATTACAGCTATGACAACCTTAACCTCTACCCAGCCCTAACCGTAACCATAAGTAACTAAACAAAATACAAAATTTTGGTATTTTTAGTTTTTTGATTGCATTCATAGATTCAAAGAGTCACACACACACACACACACAGAACAGAGGTGGGATTCATGCCCTCACCCCTGGCTGAGAGAAGTAACCATTCTTTCATACAACAATACTATGAGACATTACTCATTCTGTTGTAATAATCATTTGTCTTTGCTCAGCAGAACTGAAAGTTAATGAAGCCATACGAAGGAAGAAGGGACAACATAGATATAAGTAATTAACAGTTACAGTTTCATACATAAGTTACATGATTTATTGCAGGTTAAACAAGAACAGATATCATTACATTTCACTGCAGGACTTCAGGATAGTGGTGACCAGTAAATACATAAACAAACATACATTAACATAACCACATACCAGTAGCTTTAATTTGAGACAAGTGGTTTGTGTTTCTACCTGAGAACTGAGGTCCAGGTCTCATCATATGAGTGTCAGTTTCTGTGTTTCCTGCCTCCTTGATATCTGCATTGGAAATCAGATTCTCTGTTCCCTCATCTGCTCGAGCGTATTTCATCTCCATTTTCCAGTGTGACTATTCGCCTGTCTCTCCACACGTGGCACTTCTGTAAATGAGCTGCCTGGCCTTGGTGTCCAGGTTATAATGTGATATGCAGAGGAGGTGGGGTCAGGATGCATCAGCACCACCTAAGCTTTGAAGAGAACATTGAAACAAAAAAAAAAATAATAGCTACCTTTTATTTAAAAAGCATGATTTAAAAATTGTTATATAATTATAGAGGATAATTAAATTAAAAATTACACTCTAATATCCTGCATGATTATTTTTTTTATTTTTATACATGAAAAAAAGAAATACAGTGGTACCTCAGAACTCGAATTTAATCCGTTCAGAAATCCGGATCAAATCCCAAAAAGTTCGAGTTGTGATCGAATTTTCCCCAAAAAAATTACATCTAAATATGTTTTATCTTTTTAGCATTTAAACACAAAATGAACCGGATAAAACAAAAAATAGCATATACTGTACTAAACATGAACGTCTCTCAGCGGAAACATAGGGTAAAGCTTCAGTCTCAGCCTCGCATTCCCTGTGATAGCATCGTGCATGTTTACACCAGCTGAATACATATATTTAGACAGTAAAAATACATTTAGACAATGATAGACAGTAACAGTAATTATTATAATGAAATACATTTAAAAATAAAGATTTCTTATTAATTATTTTAATATTAATAATAAACCATTAATACATTTAATTATAATAATATTGTCATACCCAGCGGGGACGGAAAGGAGACAAAGGCGCAGACGTCAGGGTATCAGGGAATACAGGGTTTAATTACAGGTAAGGCAGACAAAACGCAGACGGACAATACAATGAGCGGACTGGGGAAACAAACTGAAACGCGGACGAAATACAGAGGGCTAATGAAAACAACCAGAAACAGCTGATCACACGGGGATTCTTTTAAGAGTAAAAGAAAAGTTTGACAAATTTATCATCTAGGGCTGTTGATCAAGGGAGAATTTGCACATTTGCAAGTTTCCAGCCTTGGCTGTAACCTCATTGTTGCAATAAAGACTGAATTTGTATCTACACAAGCGGCTTCTGACTTCTGCTTTGGCAGGGAAGGAAAAACCACGACAATACAGATGAGGGCAAGCTTGAGGGTCACAGCACAGGGTCAGCCAGTGTGCAGTGCCCGTGGAGCTGGGGGTTAAGGGCCTTGCTCAAGGGCCCACTGACATGTGACTATTGTACTGAGTGCAGGGCTTGAGCCAACAACTTTCTGATTACAAACCTGCTGAGCCACACACCACCCTCATTGCAGATGAAATTATAGATTGTAGAATTATAGCTTGAAGAAGATGTTAGTGACTTACCAAAGGAGGACATGAATGCTGTTTGTATAATCTGAGGATCGATGTTCATCGTTAAGAAGGAAGAAGGGGTACAGATGGGATATGATGAGGAAATCTCAATGTGAAAAAAGTTATTTATGCTAGAAATTACTCAACTTGATGACAGAAATGACGGCACTCAGGGCATGGCATTAAAGCGATCATCCAGGTGTTTCATTTAGAAATAAAGAGCTGAAGGAAAATCGTTGTGCAATTCAGAACAGCACTGTGGTCAGTGGTGGGTCTTTTGAAGCTAAACTGGCTGGGTTTGAACAAGCAACCTTTGCAGATGTGAGGACAGACAGACATGACTGTATAGATAAATGCATCCTAAAGTGCAGTAAATACAATAAATATACAGGCAAACAAGTATATGGACTGTGTAAAGAGTAGAACCTAAGATAGAACAGTGTAAGAACGATGAACAATGTAGTGTCAAGGTGCCAATGAGCTAAATTGATGTGCAAAAGGAGCAGAGAGTGCAGTTATGAGTTGAGCTGAAGAGATCGCTGTTTGATTGCTACTACAGCTTTTGTAAAGAAGCTGTTTTTTTGTGCCTAGTGCTTCTGGTTTTATTGCTTGGAAGTGCTTCCCACCTGGAAGGGTGTGGAAAAGATGATGACCAGGATGAGAGGGATTGCTGATGATCTTTTGAGCCAGACTGATAAGTCTAGTCTGGAGAGGATTCTGCACCAATTTAGATGAGGTTAGGATGGACTGAATGATGGTGGCATAAAACTGCACCAGAATCACCTGTGGAAGCTTAAGTTTCTTTAAGCACGGCAGCAAAAAGAGCCACTGCTGGCCTCTCTTGTTAATGGAGGGGATGCGGTGCTCCCACTTCAGATCCATGGATAGGAAAGTCCTCAGCAGGAACCTGAATGACTCAGCTCAGCAGAATCAGCACACAAGTGAAACTGAAGGAGGATATGAAACAAACAAGTGACAAAACTTGTATTTCACATGAACATTTACTTCTCTATTTTTCAAGAGATAAAAATGATCAGAGTTAAAAATTACATTAGGAAAATGCTGTAAATGCTGGTCAAGCAGAATTCTCTCATAAAGTATAAAAACATATGAACTTTGTTGCACATACAATTGTGACCCCAGTCCAGATGCCATACTGGCTCAATAGGTCCCACTGTGGCCTCACTCCAGAATATTTCACAGGGTATCCTGTGCCTCAAGCATGGTGCTTCTCAGAATAAGCTGCAGGCTGACTGTGATCCAGTACACTGTAAAAAAAAAAAAAGTTAAGATTAACTTAACTTAAAATTTCAGGGCAACTTATTGCACTAGATTTTTGAGTTTTGAGGCCAACTCAAACTTTTAAGTTTTGAAGAAAACTTGTTGTGTTTTGGTTTTTCCTTCCCCGCCAAATCAGAAGTCAGAAGCCGCTCGTGTAGATCCAAATTCAGTCTCTATTGCAACAATGAAGTTACAACCAGGGCTGGACACTTACAAGTGTGTCCAATGCTGTTTTACACCAGTTTTTATACAAGTTCTAATCATTTAACAATATCTCGTCACTTGAGCATAATCATTCCTTCAACCATTTATAATCACTGTTTTTCCCTTAATCCACACCCCTAGGTGATAAGTTTGTCCATCATTTCTTTTACTGTTTGGTCCATCAGCCAAACATAATTGTGGCGTGACCATCTCCACTTGGTTTTTTAAAAATGCTCAGCTGTGTACTTCTGGTGAACTCAGTTGAATCCCTTCCTTCAGTAGTAAACTTTGGCAGCTTCAGTCTGTTGCACATTGACCAACTAGAGGGTTGATATTATATTTGTCCTTCAACATAGTGATAAGGTATAATACTAATAAAGGTGGATATTCATACATTCAGGACTAACATAAAGTAGCTAACAGAAACTCTTAGGCTAACACGAGGTGTAAATACATACTCAATTGATTACATTGTGTTGATTACATTATAATGATTACATTGTAATTATTACATCATGGGTATTTGGCATGCTTTTTAATAATAATGATTATATTCTACGTTATGTAATGCTCAATAATATCCCATATACTTCCCCCCTCCAAGGAGTCCCACACACAATCCTGTCCATCCAGCCTAGGAGGGAGGGCAAAAACCCTATGACCTAGGGAAATTCCACCCCCAGCCCGCCAAAGACCCTTCGGGGTCCGCAACTATCAACACTCTGAATCAACCAACAGCAGCACAGGGGGTACAGCAGTAAATGGAGGGGAGGATCGGCATATAATGAACTCCCCAGGATACACTGCATATATTATCAGAAGTACAAAATCTGCTGGGAGTACATCACCTACCTAATGAGGTAGTGGTATACTCAGCCCATTTATACCACCAGTTTCTACTCTTATGTTTTGCTAATCCAGCCAGGTCTACTTCATCTTGTGTATATTCTACAATTTGCTTACTCTCCTCACTCTCATAGCTCCCACCTACATCTCTCCGCTTTCGCTCATTGTCATCTGAGAGGTTATTCAGCATCAGCGGACCAGGTCGAGTCAGTGAAGTCAATTGTCCTGAACTCTCCTGTGGTCCTGCAGTGCACCCAGACCTGAAGGGCCTGGTATATCATTAGCATCACCAGTATCGTCATTGTCAGCCCTATCATAACCCACAGCTCCGTGTCCCGTCTGGGGTGGCTGGTCTGCTTGCGACGCACTCTCTTGACCCTCACTCTGCTCCGAACCTGAATCTGGCTCCACCCCAAGCTGTGGAGCTCCTCCGTCTGAGGATCTGAGTCAAAGGCATCTGCATCCTCTGGTGTCGTTTGCGGTGACTATCTGCCTTCCTTGCGGTACTCAAGTGCAGTGGTTCAAATGGTACCACATATTATCTCCGGAAAGCCATTAAATACGCAAAGTGTCAGTACGCCCACAAACTGGACTCTCAGTTTAACAGCACAGCAGATGCTCCGCATTGAGAGGAGCCAGATGAGGTGACTCGGGCATCTGCTTAGGATGCCTCCTGGACGCCTCCCTGGTGAGGTGTTCCGGGCATGTCAGAGTCTTTCTCATTATGGTGGGTGAATCTGGTGTGGCTCTTCTGATCCTTATGACTTTTTGCGTGCATATTAAAATGGGCCAGGGCAGACTGAGGAGTGAGACAATTTTGATCTCCTTGTTGTGAATGTGGAGAGCTGGTGGGTAGGGGTTGGGGGGTGAGGTGGGGGGGCACTCATCTGCTTCCAGCCAACTTCCCCTTTCTCCTCTCGGACACTGGACTCATGGATCACGGACCCGGAGAAGAAGCTAATAGCCCTCTCTAGCAGAGCCGTGCTAAATTCTCCCTGCGCTAAAATTATTCCCTTGGGAATCAATGGGCTTATTCTTTTGTTGGCCGCCATTTGCTCCACGGTTCTACACTCCATGTGAAACAGTAGACAGTCATGGGGAAACATAAAACATAATACTTCTGTGATTGGCTTGTCACTGGCTCTTCGGGGGACCATGTGCAGATATTGCCGATAAAAGGAGAATCAGTGAAAGATTAGGGGTGACGGCCCTCCACATCCAGATCGGATCTCCTGCGGGGGGGCTCATTCAGATGCTGCGCGGAGCGGGATAAAATCCTACGATGTGCCATCAAATCCACGTCCATTTCTGCTTTGACAGCTTCCGTGTTTGATACGAAGCTAATATAACAACTTCCTGTCTGTAAATGAAAGTGAAAGCGATTTAAAACTGGAGTCGCCGTTTTGTCAAGAAACAGGAATATGATTCTGGAAAAATAAAAAGATATTTTTATTTACAGGTAAGATTATACCAATAG